AGGTTCCTTCAAGACCTGCTTCGCCACACCATTGGAATTTACATCTCTTGAGCTGGGGACTGTCGGACCCTGTCATCTGGTTGACTGTTGGTGACCTGCCTTGCTGTTTGCTGCCTGTGCTGGGATAGCCTAGCTCTCTCTACAGAGGACTACCCGGGGGCACTGGAGTCCTAAAGGAAGAGAACAAATTGGGGAGCCAGAAGGGAGGGGGTGGCAGTAGGAGCAGAACTGAAGATTGCATGAGGGCCTTCTAGGCACTGCAGTGGGGTGGGCCCCACAGGCTGGCATTGCATTTGTTTCTGATTTGCCGTCAGTGTTGATTGCAATGCGTTGGGTTAGAATGGATAGTTTACGACGTTGTCTGGTAAACCTCTTCTCTGAACATGCAGAGCACAGCAGTTCAGATCCTGAACGGGGCGAGGAGCCAGTACCCCCATTGCTTAGTGGAAAAACTAAGCAACCACTTTATTCCTTTTGTGTTAGGCAAACTCACATGGCACCATATCCTGGGCCCCTCTTCTGTTGCCTGTTCTTTTGTTTGGTTTTGTTTTTTGAACTGTACTGTGTTCAGAGTAGACTGGCTGTTGAATGCGGAAGTGCACTGTGGGAGATTTTCTGAGTGGCAGCCATCAAGGGCTGTCAGGGGCCGTCTGTATTTACATGTTTTCAGGCATGTTTTTCCAGTGTATTGTGGGTCTCTGTCTCTCCTTGGAGCCATTTGGTATTCAGAAGTCAATAAACAAATTACATTGATCTGTAATGCGAGGCTGTCACAATGAGTGATAGGATACCAGCTCTTTCAGACCGGCGCAGGAGGGGCGAGCAAGAAGATTGAAATTGCCCATGCAGATGACAAGGGACCTGTAAGAATTCAGCACTGGCTGCTCCTCTTGGTGAAGCTGCCACCGTGGAACTTTCTGTCCTGGAAAGCCGCTCACTTTGTGCTGATCCTGTGACGTGCGACGTCTCTGTATGGGAGATGCTGGGCTTCATCAGTGGTGTAGCTATCCTGTGATGCATCCTGCCCTGCAAAGAAAGGAGGCTTGTGAGCTATATGGCTGTATTGTTGTAACAGGAAAGTGGACCTCTTAGCAAAATGAATAATACTTGGAATTTATATTTCCTTTCATGATTTATCTCAACTGTCGTTGGCTTTCCTCAGGCACTTGGGAAAAGGTGTTATAATCCCTCTTTTTATAGTACAAGGATGAAGAGCCTCTTGAGATGAGGTGACTTGGGCAAGGTCACAGAGCTGGTGGGTAGAACAAGGGCTAAGAGTCATCTTTCTGAGTCATCTGAGAGGTGCTTAGGTTACCTTAGTGTGGGAGTTATATCATCGGTTGTCAATTTGAGAGGATTATGAGTGAAGGGGTGGAGTCTGGCTTGTCAATCAAGATATAATCAATGAGGCCTCTATGTAGGCATGGCCTTCCCCTGAGGATTCTGGGAACTCCTGGATTTTCCTCATTGGAGGTGGGAGACGCTCTCTCTGCTCACTTCCTGCTAGACATCCCTGAGGAGAAGCCACACGGACCTACCCTGATGCAGCCTGGGAGTTGGAGAAGCCACATGGTGACCCCTGCCAGTGCTGAGGTGCTCACAACACCACTGGATCCAAAGACTTCCCACCCACTGGCCTGTGATCTTCCTGCATTTGGCGTCATTGCATGTGTTGTGTGAGACTGAAGAGGACTTTATAGTTTGGTATTGGACATATGGACTAATATCAGACTTAAGGGCTTGGACTGGACTGAGTTGGGATGCTTTCTTAATGTACAATTACCCATTATATAAAACTCTTTCTTATACACATATGAGTTTCTATGGATTTGTTTCTCTAGTCTACCCAGACTAGCACAGTTAGGTACTGGATTTTCACAAAACTTTACACTTTTTGGCCCTTAAAGTATACTTAGTCAACAATTATTTTATGCAATTTTGGCTCTACCTTAACTTTTTGGGCATCAAAATGATGTAACATTTTAAAAAGAAGTACTTTTTAAAAAATGAGCTTGCTTTTGAAAGCTATTGACGGGAGCCCTGGTGTTGTCATGGTTACCTGTTGGGCTTCGATCCACATGGTCGGCTGTTCAAAACCACCAGCAGTTCTTCGGGTGGAAGACTGAATTTTCTACTCCGGTAAACATTTACAGTCTCAGGAGCCCCTAGGGCTGTGGTGGGGGAGTCAGCACTGACTCGATGGCAGTGAGTCCAGTTGGAAAGGTAATAAATACAAAGTGATAAGTTACGGATAATGTGAGCCCTACTCTGAAACACACGAGGTCGCCAAGAATAAGTCAGAGCAGGCGACAGGTTACTGATTAATTAGCTGATTGCTGTTTCAGTCCTTCGGTGAATTAATTAGTCTTTGATTCAGTTTGTTGTGGTGGTTGCAGATCACTGTGCTTCCTCCTCCCCCAGGCCTTTGTTTTGTTTTAAGACACAGCGTGAACTTCCCCTTGGTGAGTGAGCCTAGGGGCAGCAAGTTTGCAGGAAAGTGGTGATGGTTCCTGGGTTGTCATAAATGAACCGCAGAAGTGTGGCTGGTGGTGTGTCGCTGGGGGTGCAGAGGGCGGGCGTGGCATATGACCATTTGAACGGGCTTCCAAGGAAGAAAGAGACCCTGATAGTTCATAGGAGAACAACACAAGGTTCACGGCAAAGCAAAGGGAATGCCGAGGCCTGGAAATGTCAGTGCTGAAAGACGGCCTGTGACCAGTCACACGAATTTGCTTTCATTTCTTTTAAACTTTCCTTCCCAGTGTCAGTACTGAGACTCACGTGCTGCATCAACCAGCATTTCTCAGGGCTACGGGCTGGGAACACCGGTTAGGTAAGATGCTCCTGGTAAAATGGGCCAAATCTTAGAAGACCTGCAGAAAGAGTCCGGTTTACTTTTATGGTCCATCACTGCCTGGATATCTTGAGGGAAGAAGCTTAAAAAAAAAAATCCAGTTTTTTAAAAAAAATATTTTTTTGGGGGGGCCATACAGCTCTTATCACAATCCATCCATCCATTGTGTTAAGCACATTTGTACATATGTTGCCATCATCATTTTCAAAACATTTTCTTTGTACTTGAGTCTTGATATCAGCTCATCACCCCCTCCCCCCCATGAACGCTTAATTATTGATAAAAACTTTTTTCGTGTCTGACACTGACTGCTGTCCCCCTTCACCCATTTTCTTGTTGTTTGTTCCCCTGCTAGGGGTTATATGTAGATCATTGAGATTGGTTCCCCCTTTCTCCCCTCACCTTCCCCTCCCCTCCTGGTATAGCAACTCTCATTATTGGTCCTGAGGGATTTATCTGACCTGGATGCCCTGTTTTGGGTTTTTATCTATACCAGTATACATGCTCTGGTCTAGCCGGATTTTTAAGGTATAATTGGGGTCATGATATTGGGGGGGAAGAATTAAAGAACTAGAGGAAAGTAGTATGTTTCATGGGTGCTATACTGCACCCTGACTGGCTTGTCTCTTCCTTGTGACCCTTCTGTAAGGGGAGGTCCAATTGTCTACAGATGGACTTTGCGTCTCCACTCTGTGCTCCCCCTCATTCACATTGATATGATTTTTTGTTCTGGGTCTTTGATACCTGCTACCTGATCCCATCAACACTTCGTGATCACACAGGCTGGCATGCTTCTTCCATGTGGGCTTTATTGCTTCTCAGCTAAATGGTTGCTTGTTTATCGTCAAGCCTTTAAGACCCCAGATGCTATATCTCTTAATAGCTGGGCACCATCAGCTTTCTTCACCACATTTGCTTATGCACCCATTTAGTCAGAAAGCCAGTGTTCTGATGTTCAATGGCATGTGTGTTTTAGAGAGTATTCATCTGAAATCATAACCACTTTCTGTATGAGGAAAACCCTACCTTGTTGCAAGACAAATCTGTAGAAATAAGCTTATGAGATAATAAGCATATTGTGGCTACGATTAGTGAGGCAACAGGGATATGACTCACTTTATAATAATCCCCTCTGCCCACCATTTGAGGATACAAGAGAGACCTTAGATGTAATGGAAGGGGAACCTTTATTAAGTCTTAAAAGGTACAAAGACAAAGACAGACATATCGTCCAGATGAGGGAGACCATTAGCTCAAGGTTAAAATGGCATCCAAGGGTTCTTTGAGATACCAAGCTTTAAAAAGGGCATGGGGTGGGGGGCACGCAAAGGAAACCATTGCAAAAGCCTGAGTGGTGGCCGGCAGGTCAGCCCATCACAGTTACAGGTGGGACCGCAGGAGCAGGACCCGGACCAGGTCTGGGACACGCACATTGTTAGAAGTGCTTCCAAGACTGGCACAGGACCTTCCGACCAAGGAAGTGAGGGTGAGACTGAAAGGTCGTGACTCCTGACCCTGTGACCCCTTCTGGCGACCCTCTGCCAAGGACAGCACCTAAACCAGAGAGAGAGAGAGAGAGAAAGATTGCCCTTCCCTGGGCTGGTGGGAGTGGGTGGAGGCAATCTACGCTCCTAGGCATTCTGCTTGAGGGCGGGATTGTCTGCACCCTTGGTCGCTGATCAGAAAGCATTCACCAGACTCTCCTCCCCGTGGGGACTTTTTATTTTGTAGTAGTTGCTTGATGGTGATCTAAGACAAATACATAATGATAGGCACAGCTACGTATTCTGATGCATCTACATAGAATAAAGATGATCTCATACAGATGTACTTCATAATTACTTGTTGAAAGAAAAATAAGAATGTTTGAGAGAGCTCAGTGTTTGGGTTTGCCAGATACATTGGGAGCAATGGTTAGAATACATGCAGCCCTCTCAGTAGGAAAATATTTAAAATGGAAATATTTTTAATATTATTATGCTACGAATGGAAGCATTTCCCTTTATAATTTTTCTGTCTATAATTTTTCTTGAGTTCAATTTGTAAATACAAAATGCAACAAACTCTTCAACAAAATAAGGCACATGTGGCTGACAGACCCCTAGATGTGGGGTGAGGAATTATGGATGTAAGTAACAGTTTGCTGCAGAGTTACCACTCTTTTAGAATTTGTCTAGCAGGTTTTCTGTTTTTTTTTCTGGGACCACCACACACACACACACACACACACACACACACACACAAGAGTTTGCTGCGTTTTCAAGAGAGTGATATCGCGCAGTTGTCTGTCTGAAGTGGGAAGTTAGGTATTCAAGGGAAGGAGCTCATTATCTTGTTCATTGTGCATAGAAAGCACACTTGAAGATCTTGGATTTTTAAAAGATTGCAGGCTTTCAAAATTCTGACAAGGTTGCTTCTAAATTTGTCAATGTTGAGTGCTGTCTTTTCAAGATGACAACTGGTTGGTGGAGTTCTGTTTTCCTGAAAGAAGGAAAGTATCAGAAATGGCTCTTCTGGCATCAGAAGATTCAAAACAAACAAACAAACAAACAAACAAACAAACATATTGTTGAGAACGAGGGGGCCTGTGGCAGAGACCCAAAACCCATCTATAGACAATAGGACAGCCCCTCACAGAAGGGTCACCAGGAAGGGATGAGTCAACAACCAGAGCGCAGTATAGCACCAATAAAACACACACTATTCCTCTGGTTTGTTGAGGTTTCCTCACCCTCACCCCCCATCATGTACCCAGCCCTGCCTTTCACAGCAGGCTAGATTGGAGCACGTACACAGGTGCAGAGAAGAGCTCAGGGCACATGGAATCCAGGTCAGATAAACCCTTCAGGAACAGAATTAGGAATATCGATACCAGGAGGGTAGGGGGAAACGTCGGGGGAGCGGGGGAGGAAGGGGGAATTGATGACAATGATATACGCATGATCTCCCTCCCCGCCCAGCGTGGTTGACGGGAGACAGTGGACAGTGTAAGACATGAAAACAGTAATAATGTATCAAGTGGTCATGATGGGGGGAGGTGGGGTGGGAAGGGCAAAAAGAGGAGCTGATGCCAAAGGCTCAAATAGAAAGTAAATGTTTAGAAAATGATGATGGTAACACATGTACAAATATGCTTGAAACAATTGATGTATGGAATCTTATAAGAGCTATAAGAGCCTCCAATAAAGTTATTTTTTATAAAAACAACCCCTCCATCAGTTGGAAGTGAAGGATCGCAGTAGAAGGAACCTATATAGCAAGTGAAAAGGCTGGGCCATAAGCTTGGACCCGTTCTAAGGTACAAAATTTACTATATCAGAAAAGATTTAAATATTCAATATAAGCTGGAAAAGTACTTTGGAATAAAAATACTAGTGGACAGATATTCCTTTTTTGTTTATTTACAGAGTAGTTACACCCCACCCCACCCCCACACACACATACACACACACTGTTTCTGGGAGCATGTGTTTGTTTTTGTTTTTTTTAACTAGAATGGGACAGTCTTCTTCTGAGAAAGTAATTAAATGCTCTCGCAGAGTTAACGATTACTTTTCACATGGTTTAATCTTCTCAACAAAAGCCCAAACTCTCAAAGTCAGTTGTTTCTGTTAGCAGCTTTCCTATACAAATTATTATCGGGTGAAAAAGAAAAGTGTGGTGTCCAGAGCTGGGTGTACTAGCACGTGTTTGACAACCCGTTCCCAAGGGCAGGGGTAGCTCTGATTTGTAGAGTTTTGCCATTTGCTGTGGTGCAAACATCCGCACCACTGCCAGTTTCTACCAGTCCGACATTACAGACCGTGCAGTTGGGGAGAGATGCGTGGCCACATCTCATGATGCAGTGTTTTCCCTACAGACACAAAACAAACCAACCCACTGCCATCAAGTTGATGCTGGCTCGTAGCGGCCCTCTCAGACAGGGTAGAATTGCCCCTGTGGGTGTCCAAAACACAATCTTTACAAGAGTAGAAAGCCCGTCTTTCTCCTGAGGAGCTACTGGTGGTTTCGAACTGCTGACCGTGCATTGCCAGCCCAATGCATAACCCCTATGCCACCCTTCCGGTTTTATAAATAAGCCTATGGCATGGATAATAGTACAAACCAGGAACAGTCACCATGGAGACCCCCATGTGTATCAAAGTAGAGCTGTAATCCATACCATTTTCAATGACTGGCTCTTCAGAACTGCATAGCCAGAGCTTCCATCTGAGATCTGGATAAGCCGAGATTTCCAGCCTTTTGGTGAGCAGCCAGCATGCTAATGTGCAGCTAAGGGATGTCTGTTATTTCTCTAATCTTGCTGTTATCACAAAGACAAGGTCTTCATCCTTACAAGATCTAAGGACAAGGTAGTAAAACAGTTCAGACAGAATAAGATGTGAGTACTTATTATACTTTCTAGTATTATAATTTATTTAATTGTGACTCTGTATAATTTAATAGTTAATCATGGCTATCCTGAGACACTTGCATGCAAAAGGACTGGAAATTAGTGACCAGCTCTCACAAGTACGTAGGAGCTTGCCCCAAGGCATCCTGAAAGGGGCGTAGGGGTCTGGATGGAACACTTCTTCTCTGTGTGATGGGGAGGGCACAGTGCCCTCAGTCCGTGTGGGAGCATAACAAGAGCCCCTTGCTTGTCGGGTTGCTGGGAGGATTCAAGGAGATGTGAATACCAAGGACTTCCTGTAGTACCAGGCACAGGGGGCTGTTCTTCGGTGCCTTCGAGTTGATGCCGACTGGTGGCGACCCTGTGTGTGCGATCGGACTAAGCACTGCCTAGTTCTGGACCATCTGTAAGACGGTTGCTGTGTTTGAACTCCTTGCTGCGGACTCTTGTGTAAGCCTCCCTCCTTAAGGGGTTTCCTGTTTCACTGGCCCGATGCTTTTCCCAGGAAGATGCTCTTCTCCAGGGACCGGCCCATCCCACTAACATATCCAACCGGTGTGGGGCAAAGTCCTGCCACCTCTCTTATAAGCAGCCTTTTGGTTGTACTTCCTTCAGATGAAAGTGTTCCTCCTTCTGGCAGGCTCTGTGGTACGTTCCATGCTCTTTGCCAACACCGTAATTGAAAGGCACCAATTCATGTCTGGTCCTCTGTCTTTGATATCCAACTCTCTCTTCTCCTGGGATGATTGAAAATCCTATGGCTTCGAGCGGGTGTCCCTATGCTTCAAAGTGACAGCTTTGTTTTTCAACACTTCAAAGAGGTCTCTTGCAGCGGATTTCCCAAAATACATTGCTTGACTTCTTGACTGGATATTCCTGGTGTATCCAAGCAACATGAATTCTTTGGATACGTTAACTGTTTCCTCTGTTATCATGGTGTTGTTCCTTCGTTCAGTTGTGAGGGGGACTGATATTGAGCTGAAACCATACTGAATCCTGTAGTCTCTGGTTGTCCTTAGGGTGTGTTTCACCCCCTATCCGCTTTCAGCAAAGAGGTTATCTTATCTGCATCTTGCAGGTTGCTAAGGAGTTTTCCTCCAATTCTAATGCCACCTTCTTCTTCAGGGACCCGTTTTCCTCATGAAAAATAAGACGGGCAGTGACCACTGTTTGTCTAGTGGCAGAACACCGTCACATAGAGTCAGAAGATGAGCCCCTGAGGTTGGAAGTCACTCAATGTGTGACTGGGGGAGGCTCCTTCCTGATGTGGATGGAAGAAAGTTCAAGAAGACAAGCTCTGAAATGCACTGTTGAAAGATCGTGAACTAGAAAACAGCAAGGGAGCTCGTGCTTCCCATTTCTCAAGTGAGATCATGGAGAAAAAAACCTCAAGCCTCAAGTTTCAGTATTTAAAGATGCTTTGCAAAAAAATAGGGAGTGCTACAGGATGCACCAGAAGGAAGAGAGAATGCATAGAGTTACAACAGCAGGGAGAATCAGTCAAGTGTCAACCTTAGGAGGTAGCATATAACCAAGAACTGATGGGACTGGCGTGAAAAACAAGGCTCAGGGGATGGACAGAAGGCCCGGGGAAGGTTTCGGTAAATGGGTGCGACATTGGGAACGCTCACTTTGTTATGCCAAGAAATCCAACCAGTCATTAGGAAGATAGAATATCTGTGCCCATTCCCAAGAAAGGTGACCCATCCAGGTGTGGACATGATCAAACAGTATCATTAATGATCACACACAAATGAAATTTTGCTGAAGGTAACTTGACAACGGCGGCAGCAGTACATCAACAGGGTGCTTCCAGAAATTCCAGGTGGATTCGGGAGAGGATGTGGAATGAGGGATTAGCATCGCTGATGTAAGATGCATCTTGGCTGAAAGCAGAGACTTATTGCCCCTGTGCAAAGGCATTCAGCTGGGTGCATGTTAACATTGTGAAACATGGGAATTTCAGAACACTCAGTTCTGCCCGTTCAGGACCCGTGCGTAGACGAAGAAGAGGCAGTCATTTGAGCAGGACGGGGTTTGTTTTCACACCAGGACCGGTGTGTCTCAGGGCTGTCTCCTCTGACCATTCTGGTCCTATTCATATGGTTGGCACAACAGCAAATGCCCAGTTTCAAAAACGAAACGAAACCAAAGCAGAACTCCCATCGCTGTATAGTCAATTCTGGCTCATAGCAGCCCTGCAGAACAGAGTCAAACGGCCCCACTGGGTTTCCAAGGCTGTGATGATGATGATGATGGTGATGAAGAAACCCAGTGTCTCTTCGTTCTCATTTGGTGCTTTCAAGCTGCCCCATCCTTTGCTTAGTAGGGCAATGCTTAACCACTGCGGCACCAGGGCTCCAGGTGTTTGGGGCATGTTAATTAGTACAGTAAACTCTGATGGAAGCCTGGCCTCTGGGTCTTGCATTTTAGGAGCCTCCCAAGTTCCCCACCTTTGATCGGGCGCAATCTTACCACTTCCCTCCTGCCGCTCACTGAGTGGACGGTCATTGAGATTTCCTCCTCTGACACGTTTCTACCTTGCCCGGGTGCTGGCTTTGACACGTTTTTGCTTTATGGTGTTGGTTTTTGAAGAGTAGAAAGAATATGCTATGACGCTCTCTAAAAATACTCCACCAGGTATTTTAAATCGTAAGTGAATTTAAGAATGGGATGAAGGTTGGCAACAGGGACCATAAACTGAGTTAGCATAACATTATTATTATTATTATTATTGCTGTTAACAAAAGCAGGGTTGGGTTGTTTCTTTTTTGTTAGTGACAAAAAATATATTTTGTATTCATTTTAATT